TCCACGACTGTAAGAGTATGTTGGAAAACACAAGTTTTGTTGAGAATGTGGAACAACTAAAATTCTCATAAAGAAAGATGGTACACCCATTTTTGAAGATAGTTTAGCAGTATTTTATAAAGTTAACCATATCTCTTGCAAGCCCATTCCTAGATTATTGGCACAAAAGAAATGGAAACCTGTGTTCACAGAGAAACCTATACATATGTCCATAACAACTTCATAGCAAAATTAGATATACCTTGTGCCACCACCAGGTAAATGGGTAAATTGGGTCAGATCCATGTAATGACTGTTGTTTGACAATGAAAAGGAAACATAGCTATATGCAGCAACATGGATGAATCTCAAAAAAATAAGCCTAGACGGGCTGTGGAGGTAGGTCAGTTGGCAGAGTACTTACCTTGCATGCATAAGGCCCTAGGTTCAAGCCCCAGCACCAAAAAAAAAAAAAAAAAAAAAAACTAGCCTAGATTACAGTAATCTCCCCTTATCTGTGGTTTTGTTTTCCATAGTGTTACCCTTGGTCAACTGGGGTCCAAATATATCAAATGGGAAAATTCCAGAAATAAACAATTCCTAAGTGTTAAACTGGGTGCCATTCTGAGTAGCATGATGAAATCTTGTGCCATCCTGCTCCATCCCACTAGGATGTCAATCATCCCTCTGTCCAGGGTATCCACGCTGTATATACATGCTACCTATCTGTTAGTCATTTAGCAGCCATCTCAGTTACCAGATTGACTGTCAAGGAACCACAGTGCTTGTGTTCAAGTACCCTTATTTTACCTAATAATGGCCTCAACACCTAAGAATACTGATGCTGGAAACTCAAATATTCCCAAAAGAAACCGGAACATTCTTCCTTTCAGTGAAGTTCTCAACTTAGTAAGGAAAAAAAAACAACAACTGTTGCTGAAGTGCTAAGATCTACTGTAGAAATGAATTTTCTATCCATGAAATTATGAAGAAGGAAAAATAAATGTGTGCTAGTTTTGCTTGTATACCTTAGACTGCAAAAGTCACAGCCTGAGTATTACACTGCATGATAAATACTTAGTTAAGACAGAAAAGGCATTAAATTTGTGGATGGACAACATATAGCAGAAAAAGCATTTTGACAGGCTGCGCAAGTGGCACCATAAAGACTTCAAAGGGATTCCAAGTACTTCAGCAAAGGATCCCTAACACAAATGAGCCTGTCATTTACTGTAAGGGGTGGTTGCACAAACTCCGACACAGGTTTGAACTGACTTCCATAAAAGTCACTGGAAAGATGGGTGCAGGTGCTCACTGTAATCCCCACAACTTGGGAGGCTGAGGCAGGAAGAGTCACGTTTGGGGTCAGCCTGCACAATTTATGAGACCCTGCCTCAAGATAAAAGTAGTTTTTAAAGTGTTGGAGGCATGGTGCAGTTGTAGAGCCCTTGTCCCGTACCACCAAAAAAAAAAAAAAAAAAAGCAAATTACTGAAGTCTGCTGGTGAAGCTCCTGCTGCCACATTTCAGGCAGAATTGAAGAAAGAGAAAAATGCCATCGAAATCAAGTCACCAAATGTGATGCAGCTGGGCTCTTCTGAAGATGCCTCATTCAATAAAATGCCAAGGAGAGGGGGGCTGGGTGGGGCGGGGTGGAGCCCATGCGCATGCGCAGGGCCCTGGTCGGAATGGGGGGGGGTGCAAGGGCATAAACCATGGTTTTCAATGGCAATGTTCTTTCAAAAGGCTTGGGAGGAGAAAACAAACTTCAACTGTTAATGATCCCTAGCCATCAACGTCCTCTTGGCTCTGTGATCAGAATTACCAACAGAAATAATCTCCTTCTGATATATGTCAAAAGGCCAATAGTCCCTAAGGCAGCGTCATGAGGCCAGCGTCACTCACAGCTCTTCTTCTCACAGAGGCATCTTTCACCTCAAATCATCACAGGAAGAAGGGTGAGTACAGGCCAGTAAGTTATTTTGAAAGATCCACATAACTTGTATTATAGTGTACTGTGATCTTTACCATAGGTCACCATTAGTGGCTGCTGATCTCTAGCTGTGCCTAATTCATAAATAGGTCGTCATCATAGGTGTGTGTATGTACAGCAGAATAAAAGTACTTGTGGGGTTTGGCACTACCCTTGGTTTAAAGCCTTGGCGGGGTTCTTGGAACATATCCTGACAGATAAGGGGACTATGGTTGCTACTACATGACTTCGTTTACATATGTCTCATATATATACACATATATATGAAAATGGAAAATATACTGACAGAAAGCAAAACAGTAGGTGATCAGGGGTAGGTGTGGAAGGAGGGAGGAAATGTGAAGACACTAGGAAACTTTGGGGGTGATGGAAAATCCTACACTTATGTGTGATAGTGTGCCAACATTATACTTCAATAAAAGTTGAAAAATGTGTATTCTATTTATTGACAGGCTAAGAAGTGAGCTTATCAAAGTAGAACCCCAGATATGGTCCTATCCATACTCATGAAATGTGGTCTTAAGATTACTGGAAATTTTCTTACCCATTTGAATTTCTTCAAGAAAAAGGTGTGTTTGGGCTGGGGTTATGGCTCAGGGGTGGAGCACTCGTCTAGCATGTGTGAGGCACTGGGTTCCATCCTCAGCACCACATAAAAAAATAAACAAAATAAAGGTTAAAAAAAAAAAAAAAGAAAGAAAGAGGTGGGTTTGGGGAAGAGGGATTAGGAGTAGGAACAAAAAAGAATTTGAGCCAGACACAGGGGCGCACACCTGTCACTCCCCCAATTCATGAGGCTGAGGAAGGATCACAAGTTCAAGGCCAGCCTGTGCAATTTAGGAAGACCGGCTCAAAAGAAGTGGGGGTGGTTGGGGCAGCAGCTCAGTGGTTGAGCACTTGCCTAGCATGCATTAGACACTGGGTTCGATCTTCAGCACCACATAAGTAAAAATAAATAAGGTATTGTATCCATCTACAACTAAAAGAAAAAAAAAAATTTTTAATTTTTTTTTAGATGTTGATGGACCTTTATTTTATTCATTTATTTATATGTGGTGCTAAGAATCGAACCCAGGGCCTCATTCATGCTAGGCAAGTGCTCTACCACTGAGCCACAACTCCAGCCCTAAAAAAAAAAAAAAAAGGTCTGGGGATGTGGCTCAGTGGCTAAGCGCCCCTGGATTCAATCCTCAGTACCAAAAAAAAAAAAAAAAAAAAGGTGTGGGGAGGAGGTGGCTGGGGAGGCAGCTCATGTGGACAACATGAACAGAAAAAGCATTCTGATTGGCTGCAGAATGTGGCACCAGAAAGCACTGAACCTATACAAAGGCTTCAGCCAGAGATCCCTGAGACAAGTGACACCATCACTTAACTGCAAATAAGGGACGGTTCCAGAGACTGCAGACGGCTAAAGCATCCCTGGGTTCAATCCTCAGTACCACAAAACAATAAAAAAATAAAGAGAGGAAAAGGGGAAAAGATGGGAAGCCCCAAGTGGAGGGACCACCAGACCAAGAACCCAGGAATGAGAGCAGCTTTTTCAGGTTCATAGCCATCAGAACCAGGGAACTGATGATGGGCTTTGGGGGGCTCTCGTGTGTGGGGTGAATCCACGAGAGGAAAGAAGGAACTTTTGAAGTATAATGTGTGTTATACAGAAGTCCCTTCCTGTAATCCCAGCTACTCAAGGAGGCTGACAAACAGAGGACTACAACTTTAAGACCAGCCTCAGCAACTTGGTGATACCCTATGTCAAAAACTAAAAGGGCACGGTGGCACACACCTGTAATCCCTGCAGTTTGGGAAGCTGAGACAGGAGGATCATAAGTTCAAAGCCAATCTCGACAACAGTGGAGCACTAAGCAACTCAGTGAGACCCCGTCTCTAAATAAAACACAAATAGGGCTGAGGGTGTGGCTCAGTGTTAGGTATCTGCTCAGCATGTGTGAGGCCCTAGGTTCAATCCCCAATGCCACCCCCACCCCACCCCCAAAAAAAAATCACCTTTACAGTCAATTCAGTGATCCACGAGGTTTCAGTTTATGTGAGGCATGTCAAGGGCTGGGGTTGTTGAGCAGGACCTTCTCAACGACCCTTATGAAGGAAAGGGTCTAGTATAATAGAGATAAATATTAAATTGAAAATTAGACACAGAGGCATGTTTAGCCTCCTCAGAAAAGCCCAGTTAGTATTACTGTCAGAGGGAAAGAGGACCAGCAGCTGCACTGTAAAGTCCAGCCCCGAGCAGCCAGCATGTGCAAGGGAGTTTAACAGGAACACAAATTATGAGAGGTGGAGACAAGTAGGGGTCAGGTGAGAGGATGCTTATAGGTCACCCGTAGGATCTGGACTCCATCCTCAGAGCACCTGCAGATTGCCAAAGGGTTTTCGGTAGACAGAGGCCGATGGACTTGGCACCCATCTAAGGACAGATTCAGGGCGCGTGCTGCTGGTCCATACTGGAGACACACCAACTCTGCTGCCGAGACCTGGATTCCTGTGAGCATGTTTTATTCAGGGCTCCAAGTGGTGGCTGTGGTGTTGCACATTACGTTCAGAATGAGCCGTCCCAAGGTCCCTTAGAAAGGCTGGGCTCTGGCAGGGCTGATAAGGGCGCCCTGTAATAGATGCCCGTCTTTATTAAACCCTCGTAATCACACTCTGGGTAAACACGTACCAGAAACAGCCCTGTGGAAATGGGGGACAAGCCTTTTGCACTCTGTCCCTCTGGCAGGCAGGTACAGTTCGCCACTTACACACATTAATTCCATCCATCATTCCTTCGTCTCAACAAAGGATTGTTTTGTTATTCAACAACCCTGTGAGGGGAGGGGAGGCTGACTGAGGACTGGAGGTCGCTCGCACTGTAGATCATGAGCACCTGTAGAGGCCATTCTGGAGCAAGGAGACCCTCTCTGTGGCCCACAGACTAAATCCCGAGAGCTACTGGCACTCAGGACCCGCAGAGGCTGTCTATTGACATCTCCCATTTAGAAAACGCATGCCCAGTAAGGCAAAATACCTGGAGATCTGGATCATCCCATGCTTTTATTTTTATTCAACAATAAGCGAACAGCAGAATTAACACAACATTAAGCAACTCCAGATCGCTCATAACCAGAGACATGTGATCGCCTCAGATTTCAGGACCCCCCAACAGCTGGGGCCCAGCACCGCCACCCTTCTAGAGGGCTAGGCCTCAGTGGCAGCAGCAAGCCACCCTCCCCCTCTTGCTTTATCCAGCTTTGTTCTTTGAAGGAGCTGGAGCAGGGTGCTCACACCTCCTGCGGTACCTGAGTCCGTGCTGGGGTGCAGCTGAGACGCCAGCCTCTGTTTTGCCAGAGACAGCACTGTAAAGACACATCTCAGAGGTGTCATCGTTCACAATCTGGACTCAGAGTCACAAAGGTAAAGGCAGCAAATCATCTGCTTTTTCAAACTTTCCTTAAAGATTAACTGACACTTGGTTCCTGTAGTATTTTTACCTGGGTTGCTATTCTTTGACTAACAATGCATTGACCCCCTCGCAGTACCAAAATATCCCCCAACAAGAAGTTCAAATTAGATCAAAGCATAAACTGGGATGTGACTATCTAAAATCGTAAAGAACAGGCAACAGAAGTCTCCCTGACCACCTAAAGCACAGCCCTGCCCTGTGCCCAGGGAGTGGGAGGAGCCCTCCATGTGTCACTTCACTAGAGAACACTACCCAGGGCCAGGGCCACTGCCTCGCGGAGCTTCCCCTACTTCCCAGACAGCTGCTCGTACAGTTTGGGCACATAGTCATCCCACTCAGCCTGGTAGCACGTGCCGGCCACAGGGGGCCCCAGTTTGTACTTCTTGCGGAAGGCCGACACCTTGAACTTGCCACGGTTGTCTCCAGAGCGATTGCTGAGAATGGGCTCGTCACACTTCAGCGGCTTGTCCTGCTCGTACACCAGCCAGACATAGCGGTGGAGGCCTGGAGGGAGAGGCAGAGGGAAAGTGGACACCTGGGGTGGACCTCACCCATCTCCACACGACATTTCAACTCAGAGGGACCGCGCCACCCTATTCACCAGGACACTGAGCCCAGAGAGGCAGGACAGGTCAAGCCCCTCACCCAGGGAACAAATCCTTCATTCGAGTCACTGGGGAACTGCAGGCTCCAGCCTTGGCCCATCCCTTGAGCCTCACCTCCAACCTCCCTGCTGCTCAATCCAGCCCACGCCACACTTCGGCCACCTCAAGTCCCTCCCAACACCCCATCAGGACGCCCATCCTTCTTCCACCACAGTAACATCAGAACCTAAAATCTAAGTAAAACACTAACTTTGTAACCTAATCTCCTTGTTAGAAATAACAGCTCTATTAAGCAGTGGTATTCGTTCTGTTGCTTCTCATCTCCCTGAATTACCCTAAAATTCCTGGCACATAGAAATGCTAAAAAGAGGAAAAAAGAGAGACATAGATGAAGGAAACAGCCCGTCAGGGGCTGGGGGGCCGTCACACCACACTCAGGCCTCCAAGGTACCAGAGAACATTATGGTTCTACCTCCAGACTTATCTATTGGAAGATGAGAGATCTGCTTTGAAATGACCCAAATCCACTTTTACCAACTAAACAGCAAAAAATGTTTTAGAATTAGCAAGCCAGGTGTGGCGGCACACACCTGAAATCCCTGCTACGTGTGAGGCACAGGCAGAAGGAGATTGAAAGTTGAAGGGCGGCCTTGGCAACTTAGCAAGATTCTGTATCAAAATAAAATAAAAAAGGCTGGGAATGTAATCCAGCGGTACAGACCCCAAGGTTCAATTCCCATTGTGAAGGAGGGGAAGCATCTTATTAACTGCAAATTAAGTAACTCCACTTAAGCACTAGACAGAAATGAGTACCATAAACTTGTTAAAAAGTTATTTAACAGGGTTGTGGCTCAGTGGAAGAGTGCTTGCCTAGCATGCGTGAGGCACTGGGTTCAATCCCCAGCACCACATAAAAATAAAAACAAATAAAATAAAGGTATTGTGTCCATCTACAACTTAAAAAAAAAATTATTTTTAAAAGTTATTTAAGTATCTACACATCTATGTACCATTCACAACAGCTGAGAGCTGGAAGCAATCCAAATTTTTAGCGATGGGAGAAATGGATAAACAGAATGTACTATATCCATACAGTGAAATATTATTCAGCAATAAAATGAAGATTTTGATGCATTACAACATGGATGAACTCTGAAGAGATCATGCTAAGTGAAATAAGCCAGTCATAAAAAAAGAAAAATATATGATTCCACATGAGGTATCTAAAGAATCAAAAGCATGCACAGAAAGTGGAATAGTGGCTCCCAGGGACAGCGGGAGAGGGAACTGCAGAGCTCTCGCTCAGTGGGCGGAGTTTCCTTTCCATTTAGGGAGATGGAAATTTCAAGGTAGGTTTCCCAACAGTGTGAACAGTTAGTACTACTGAAGTATCCAAGTAGTAAGTTTTATGTTATGTTTTTAATATAGTTTAAAACATAAAACATTTAAAAAGCAAGTTACAAAAAATCATGGTCAATAAAGAGACCGGCTCAACATCAGCCACCAGATCAGGGACCAGAACAACGCAAATGCTACCACTTCACATATACCAACCACAGCACCTAATCTCAGTATGGGGCTAGGGGTTAGAATGTAAAACTGTCAGTTGTTCTGGAGAACTCTGGGGCAGCTCCAAGAGGAACTGTCCACATGAATGTATAGAGCCACTTATTCATAAAATCCAAATGCTGGAGAAACCTGAATGCCAAGCAGGAGAACGGCTCCACAACCGTGCCGTCTTGGAATAGGGAGATGCTACTTAGAAACCAAATGGAATGAACTACTCATACAAGCAACAGCCTGGAAGAACCTCAGACATGATCTTGAATGAAAGAGACCAGTCACCAATAAATGCACCCTGAGACTCCATCTGTATGAGGTAGCAAGATACTCTATGGAGAAAGGGGTCAGAAAACTGGTTGGCTCTCAGGGAATGTAAGTAAAAGAGGATCCTTCTAGGGTGATGGAAATGACCTATATCTTTTTGAAGTGTTTCTATGTGTATGCATCAGTCAAATCTGCTGCCTGAAAACTTACAATCTATGTGTTTATTATATAGGAGTTAAAACTTACTCAAAGAATCTGAAAAGAGAGTGACTGAGGCCTTTTTTTTTTTTTTAATGAGAACACAGCTCCTGCTCAAGAGAATTGCTTTATTCTCATGTGTATTCTCCCCGTAATTAAATTGGCTATTTTAATAACTGCCCTAGAGAACTTAATAGAGCTCTAGGAAATCTGTCCCTTTACCCTCCCTATTAGGAATACATAAGGGGGTTAAAGCCGTCTGGAAGCTTTTAGGTCTAAAAGTAAAACATGAGCCCATGACCAGCAGTCCTCACTCACCAGGTACTTCCTTATAACACTCTGTACTGACTCAAAGCAGAACAATGTGTGCAAAAGCTGGTATTCTGCCATGTTTCACCCACCACTATGTCCCCTTCCCAGCAAATGGGGACATCTTGTAATGAACAACAGGGAACAGCAACCCCCTGTGGCTTACGGAGCTCTTATCTAGCTGGAGAGCTGTGATGCAGGAGTCTCTCACCACACATGCTTACACACAGAACAGGACACTGCACAATGCATGCACAGACCTCCAGTATAGTTCTGTTGCAGTCTTCTACATCTTTCCAAGATACCAAACCAGATTTTTGGAAGGACCTCCAGTGATAAATAAGGCATTTTTTTCTAATTAATTTGAAAATTATGATCACTTGAGACTTTTTACAGGAATTAGAAATTGAAACATCACACGGGAAAAACTGCACACAGAAAAGACATAGTTTATCTGTGTTCAACCCACGTGGAACCACCCAAAAAGTATCTAAAACATCATTCCCTTATCCCTGGCTTCCCTGCTTATTAAAGGCCCAGAGCCCAAGAAGCAGACCTCTACAATGAGAATCCATCTGACCAGAACCCAAAGTCCTAACCCCCCCCCCACTCCTGCAGGTCTGAGCGAGCTCTGGAAGGCAGAGAAGCAAGCAGCCTTGTTTCCAGTAGGGTAAGGGATCTTGTAAATAAAAACAGTACAGCCTGAAAAAACAGACTCAAAATGGCAGCACTTTGGGCCAACCCTGCTGTGTACCTAGCCTCCCTTCTTGCCTCCCTAAAAGCAGCCTTTACTGACCTGTGCCACTGGGAGGCCCGGAGCCCACATAATCAGAGAGGACAGTACCACTGCTGATGTCGTTGCCCTTCATGTTGACCACCAGAAAATGGTGCCATTCCCTGTGCGGAAGAACACAAGACCGTCAGCACCACAGGGGTTAGCAGTCACTGTACACTAGCAGCTGAACATCTAGCACATACTGAATGCCAGGAGACAGAGATGAACACTGCAGGCCCCGCCAGTGCAAAGCTTGTTCAAGATCTGCAGAGAAAGGACCCAGTCCCTTCTCTGCCCTGAGATTCTCTAGGGCAGGGATCAAAAAGCTTTTTCTGTAAAAGACTAGAGAGTCAATGCTTGCAGCTTTGCAGGCCATACTTCTGTGTAGCAACAACTCAACACTGCCACTATGGCTGGAAATTAGCCACAGAGGACAGATATATAAGGTATCATGGCTGTGTTCCAGTAAAAACTCTTATTTATGGACATTGACCTTTGCATTTCATATAATTTTATATCTCACAAGGTATTATCATTCATTTTTTCTTATCCTTCTAAAAATGTAAAAGCCATTCTTAATTCATGGTGTCATACAAAAACAGGCTGCAGGTAGGTGGATTTTGCTATTGGTTTTAATTTACAGACTGGAGAGCAAAGGGGCAGGAAATGCACACTCTGGCTTAAACAAGGCACTAACATCCCACACTAGGTCTACTTCTTCACATTCGACAAGAGACTTATACCAGGTAGGTCAGGTCTCCACCCTCCCCCCTCTTTCCCCAACCTGCCTGTATTTGGGAGACTGCCTGCTGGGAGCATCCGGGTCTGTCAGGACCAAGGTGTAGAGTTTATCTGGATCGAGACCATCCCATGTAATGCTGGTGGGTCTGTTCTGAACCTGTAGGGAGGAATAGTTTGGAGTTCAAAAGTCAGAAAAACTGAAGAAAACAACTCACTTTCTTTGACCTCAGGCTCCTCAAAGGTAAAACCAAAGTAGGAGTCAGAAGCAAAAATGTTTATATTATAATTTTATTTTCAACACCCCATGGAGCTAGTATATCCTAAGTGGTGGGGTCTGGATTAAACAGGACACTGGCTTCTTCTCATAACTAAAACTTTACACTGTCTGGAATGACAATGTCTTTGGATTGGTGACCAGGCAGTCACTGGAGCCTGCCAAAGTGAAGTTGGCATCAACTCAACATTTAAAAGCGCAGAGAAATGTGGCTGAGAGGTGGACAGGAAGTCTGGGAGGGGAGGCTGGCACTGCTGCCTAGCTGCGCAGTTTCTGTGATTATTCAAAACAGTGAAGGGTCTGGGCAACTTATTCGAATCTCGCCAGAGACTTAATGACCAGCAACGAGCAACGGTGTCGAGAATACCAGTTTCTCCACTTTCTGCAGCAGCCTTAGTCCTGGAGTCAAGAGTCCAAAAGCAAAACCGTAAGCCTCCGGGCTGCAGAGCGCACCCCCTCGGGGAAGATGCACGCTCTAGAACGCTAAAACAAAGGAGAAACCGCCGGGCGGCACTCGTCACCGGTTACATAATGCGTCACAAAACTCCCGGGTGCCGCGTCGGCTCTCCAAACTGCGGCCTTAAGCACGAAGACTCGGTGGAGGCTCTGGGGGCGTCCAGGGCGGTCAGGGCCCACCCCGTCCTGACTGCGACCCTCGTCCCCGACCCTGCCCGAGGAAGGCATTGCTTGTCTTAGGCCCCTCCTTGATGTCCCGGGAAACGAGCTGGATTTCTCCAGCGGGTCGATCTCCACCCACCCCAGACCGGGTCCTCGGGGTGGCCCCCAGGCCTGTGGCGTGGGCACAGCGACCCCGATCCCGGGGACGCTGCGCACGCAGGCTGGAGCAGCCTTCGCGCCCCTGTCTCACTGGCTCCCACCCGATCCCAGCACAGGCCCCGGCCGCGCACGCCCACCGCCCTGAGGCACCTGGGTCGGCGTCAGCACTTTGCCCAGCTCGTCCACCTCCAGCCCGGCGTAGACGACCCTCAGTGGGTGCTGGGGCTGCTCCTCCACCTCCTGCAGGCTCAGTGGCCCGTTCCACTTGCTGAGGTCCGCCGGCATGGCGAGGAAGGGCAGGCGGTTCGGCCGGGAGGACTGCGGGAGGCCACGGACAGACACACGGCGCTGAGTCCGAGCGAACTGGACGGAGGCGGCGGCGTGGGCCCAACGACCACGGGAGCGCACGCACGCGGGTGCAGCCCCGCCCCGCCCCGCCCCGTCCCTCCAATCAACGGTGAGGCCCCGTCCACTCTGCCCTCTGATTGGTCGAACCCTGAAGCGCGGGGCAACTCACGCTCCCGGGTCAAAGCAACCTGCTACCAGCAGCAGCCGGGTTTTGCAGTACTGTAGCTAGGTCTGAAAGGCCTTTGTTTCCGAAAATGCACATGAGCTCGTCTGAGTTTTTATTTTTGTTTTAATTTTTTTGCACAAATATTTGCCCCACATCCTCAATTCAGAAATAGTACGGCCTTGCTTTTCTCTTGCACTTCTTAAAACGAGCCAGAATATTTCACTAATGGGTGCTCTCCCCTGGTGGTAATTGCCTAGTGAGAAGTCCTGAGTAAACATTTGGCCATTTTCTCCACAAATGCGTTTGCACGGATAGCTCATGCACCATCCCCACTTGAACTCACAAGTTTCCTGAGAAATTTTTCTGTTTTTCTTCTTTTGAGAAATGAATTTTTGAAGCATAATTAATCCTATTTTGCTGACAATCCTTATTTTGTGGATTCTGTGACCACCAACTGCTTTCTTTTTACTGAGTATAATGAGCACTACTTAATGCGCAGCATGGACAAAATCTAGAGATGTGCAAACCAGCGCCCCCAGTTCAATTTCCTGATCATTACCACTGCAATGTACCAGGCCCTGACATTCAGCCTCTCATTTTTATCCTTACACCAACCCTGACATTATTCCCACTTCACAGATAAATAAACTGAACCGTGGAGAGAGACGCAGAAGTGAGAAAGCAGCATGAGATCCTGTCTGACTGTAGAAGGTGGCTCTCACTGCTCTAGCTAGAGAAGATTCCGGTGTAGTCTCTGGCCTCTAGGAAGCTCTCCCCTAGTGCAAGTGTTACATGGCAAATTACCTGGAAGACCCAGAAGCAACCAAGAGAATATGCCACTCAGATCTCTGATAGCTGGGGAAGAAATTGACCAGGGTCCCAATTGCTTTTAGGACCTGGGCAGGGAAATTAAGGCAGGCACTGCTCCAGGATGCATGGGCTTCCTCTGCTGTCAGGACAAACTAGCCTGCTTTCTACGAACCTGCCCTCCAGGCTTAGATGCCTCAAGTATTTAGGTCAGCTGTCTCTCCCAGCCTCCCCTTCCCCTTCCCAGTTCTCTCACAGTCATTTCCCCCAATAAATTCCTTGTACATCTAATCCCATCTCATCATCAGCTTCTCTAGGACCAAGAGTGACACTCCAAGGGTGCTGGGTGTGGGCCAACTGGCAGACAAGGCTGGATACGGCTGAGGGGATAGGGAAGGAAGTGCTCTTTAACTATTTTTATTTTTTATTTTTTGTTTGGTAGCAGGAATTGAACTCGGGGGCACTCAGCCACTGAGCCTTATCCCCAGCCCTATTTTGTATTTTATTTAGAAACAGGGTCTCACTGAGTTGCTTAGCATCTGGCGGTTGCTAAGGTTTTGAACTCAAGATCCTCCTATCTCAGCCTCCCCAGCCACTGGGATTACAGGCGTGCCTGACTTAACCTTTTTTAAACTACAAAAAGTTTTAAAATGTCTGCGTTACACAATCTGCCACGTAGCATAATCTAAAGCCACAGGTATGGAAATGAGTTCAGATTCCAAATCATCACCTAGTTCCTGTGAAACCTTAGGGGAGGGTGTTTGGCAGAAGAATGGCTTCTCCCTTTGCCCAAGTCCTAATGCCCAGCGTCAGTGACGACAAGGCAAGAGGAATTACGGCTGCATCTGGATTTAAGATTGCTAACCTCATGACCTTAAAATAGGGCCATTATGCTGGACTATGTGGGTGTGCCCAACACCATCAAGAGGGCCTGAAACAGGGAAGAGCAAGGCAGGGTTGTCAGAACCAGAGTGAGGCCTTGTGAGGAAGACTGGCCCAAAGATCGAGGGGACCCTGAGCCTGGGAAGCAGGAAAAGGAAGAGAAGTGGATTCTCCCCAGAGACTCCAGAAGGAACGCAGCCCTGATGACACCTTTAGTCCAGTGAGACCCCCTTCTTCATTTTTTATTGTTTCTGTTTCCTCAAAGTTGTATTTTTATGTTTTTATAATACAGGTATAATATATGATCCACATGAAAATACATATATAGTCTGCATTGTCTCTGGCTGAATATTTTATTTGAGGATAGGATATGTTCTAATATGTACATGTTCACGTTGGCTATGTAAATGGCCGGGGTTTGGGTCCCACCAAGGCGCAGGTGTTACAGGCTCTGTCCCCAGCTTATTAACGGGAGGTGGCCTTGTAGGCAGGTATGCCCAAAAAGGGGTTGCGGGACCCAAGCCTCTTCTTGTGCTCTTTCTCTTTCTGGCCACAAGGAGAGCAGTTTTGTTCTGCCACCAACACACCATGCTGCCTGTCACAGGCCCCACAGCCAAGGGATCACAGACTGGAACCTTCAAAACTGGGAGCCCAAACAAAACTTTTCTCTTTATAAGTAGATTGTCTCAGGTACTGGTTATAGTGTCAGAAAGCTCACACAAAAATATCCCTTTCAAACGTGTATTTTTAAACAACTGCTTACCATGACAATATCATGAATTATGTAATCGTGAACTTGCTGTTAGATGTTGAGACTGTTTCTCATTTACCCCTTCATTTGGCAGTTCAGGAAGCTGCCAAAGGCCTTAATCCAACTGAGAGGGGACCACGGTACAGGGCACCTGAAGGAGCACCATTTCCCAGGCAGAGCAAAGGAGCCAGATGTGGCCACAAATGTCTATAGAAAGTCATCTGTATTCAGAAACCACAAAATGCCCTGAAGTCCAGTACAGATGCAGCCCTGGGGGAGTTTGGGAGCTCCTGGCAGGGAGCAGACACTCGTCACTTGCTGCTTACTCAGAACACGGTTTCCGGATGGGGTGGGTCTGGTCATCTTCCCTTACTATGACAAATATCTGGTGCACATCTGTGATCCCAGAAACTCAGGAGGCTAAGGCAAGAGGACCTCAAGTTCAAGGCCAGCCTCAGCAACTTAAGGAAACCCGTCTTAAAATGAAAGCAATAAAAAGTGCTCGGTACGACATTGAAGATCCATGTATTAAAGGAGGTGGGGAAAGCGGGGGAAAAAAAAAAAGGAATGAAAAGAGAAAGAAATTTGGCATTAGAATTTTTTTATGTGTTCTAATCAGTTATGCATGACAGCAGAATGCTCTTTGATTCATTGTACACAAATGGAGCACAATTTTTCACTTCTCTGGTTGTACACAAAGTTGATTCACACCATTCATTCAATCATACATGTACCTAGAGTAATGATGTCAGTTTCACTCCACCATCTTTCCTACCCCCAGGCCCCCCTCCCCTCCTCTTCCTTCCCTTTGCCCATTGCAAAGTTCCTCCACTCATCCCATGCCCCCTCCCATTAAATTAGAATCCACTTATCATAGAAAACATTCAGTCTTGGGTTTTGGGGGATTCCGGCTTACTTTGATTAGCATGGTATTCTCCAACTCCATTTATCTGCAAATGCCATAATTTTATTCTCTTTTATTGCTGAGTAATATTCCATTGTGTGTATATACCACAGTATCTTAATCCATTCATCTGTTGAAGGGCATCTAGATTGGTTCCACAGTTTGGCTATTGTAAGTTGTGCTACTATAAACATTGATGTGGCTGTGTCCCTGTAGTATGCTGTTTTTAAGTCCTCTGGGTATAGAGGGAGGAGTGGGATAGCTGGGTCAAATGGTGGTTCTATTCCAAGGTTTCTGAGGAGTCTCCATACTGCTTTCCAGAGTGGTTGCAGTCCACCAACAGTGTATGAGTGTGCCTTTTCCCCACATCCTCGCCTACACTTATTATTGCTTATATTCTTGATAGCTGCCATTCTTACTGGAGTGAGATGGAATCTTAGAGTAGTTTTGATGTGCATTTCTCTAATGGTTAGAGATGTTGAACATTTAGAAATTTGGCATTTATTAGTACCCATCTAGGGTCTGTTAGCCTTTCTAGGCTGCTGTCTGTCCGCCTGCCTGTGGAGGCTGGGAGCCTCAGGAGACTGCTGCTGGTCGACCCAAATGAATGAGCCATAAAACCACAAGTTGTTTTTGTTTGTGGAGCGAGGGCAGGAAGTCCACTGATGTGGTTCTCTGTGGAATGGCTTCATACCAGTTTCACTCTTGTGTTTCTCCTAGGGACAGTGGGACAGTGTTCAGTACAGGAGGATTGAACAAAAGTAACGCTCCATCCTATAGCCACAGCTTGAATTCAGAAACTGCCATTGGGGTTCTACCAGGGACTTGGAAGGGTGCCTTTAGGGGACAGAGAAACCAGCTGCTGGCCAAAACTCTGGGCTGAGGTGTCATTCTGGAAATTAACCTCTACCTGGTCCCTTGGATCCCACTTCTTGGGATTTTTTATATTGAAATTTTTTTTTGGTGGGGGGGGTGGGTTACCAGGGATTGAACTCAGGGGCACTCGACCCCTGAGCCACCTCCAAGCCTTATTTGTATTTTATTTAGAGATAGGTTCTCACTGAGTTGCTTAGCACCTCACTAAGTTGCTGAGGCTGGCTTTGAACCCACAATCCTCCTGCCTCAGCCTCCCAAGCTGCTGGGATTACAGGCATGCACCACTACACCCGGCTTATATTGAGATTTTTGTTTCTCTCTTTGAGAATTTCAAAACCTTAAAAAAAAAAAACCATACTTGACATTCTCATTGACATCTTCTACATGAAATATTTCTTGAAAAGAGTTATCTAGAAAATTGGGGCTGGGGACATAGCTCAGTTAGTAGAGTTCTTGCCTCACATGCACAAGGTCTTGGGTTCAATCCTCAACACCACCAAAAAACAAACAAACAAAAAAAACACCACAAAAAAAGAGCCAGAAAATTAATTTAAAAAGCTGGCAAATTCTAGTTCTGCAAAACATTAAAAAATAGAATAACCATATGATCCAGCAATTCTACATATGGATTTATTCAAAAGAATTAGAAACAGAGTGCAAAGAAACACTTGC